AAGGAACAAAACAGCAGCAGAATCACAGAACCCAGGGAAGAACTAACAGTTACCAAAGGGAGAGGGACTGGGGAGGGTGGGTGGGAAGGGAGGGAGAAGGGGGCGGGGAAGATAGATGAAAGGGGGCCTTACGAATAGCATGTATAATGTCGGGGGGGTGGCATGGGGAGGGCTGTGCAACACAGAGAAGAGAAGTAGTGATTTTGCAGCATCTCACTACGCTGATAGACAGTGACTAATGGGTTATGTGGGGGAGACTTGGTGAAGGGGGGAGTCTAGTAAACATAATGTTCCTCATCTAATTGTAGATTAATGGTACCAAAATAAAAAAATATTGAAACCAAGAGAAGTGTGTGTGAATATAACTTATTCTTCCTTTCACTGCTCTGAAGTTTATTGTTTGACACTTTTAATTTTCATGGTTACTTTGAAAGGAACCATTTTGAAAAGTTACGTTTGAGAGTTTAGAAAATGCACCATGAACTACTGACAAACCATCACATAAAATATTTTCAAGTTTCTGTTGCATCTTAGTAAGAGTTCATTGAATAATACTGTTTTTTTTAAAAAGTGATGAGAGTGACTAATAATAAGTGTTTGGTCAATGGAGTTATATACTGAGTGATACCTTGTGATGTTGAGAAAGCTAGCTCTCATTCTTAGAGGGTAGAAATGACTACATTTTAGATTTAAGGTGCCAAGTTCTTGGGAATGCTTGTCACTTTGTTTTAGTGGGTAGCTTATACCTGAAAGAACCAATCTTTAAAGATCCTGATCTAGGAATCTAAAGTGCCATTTAAAATTTTCTTCTGTCCATAAAAGCAAGAAATTAATTAAAGACTGAATATTTTCATGGATTTGAGATTCTTTGTTTTTGTATTTTTATATGTATGCCTTTCAGCCCTTCCAGTATGGTTACAAGTTTTTTAGGGCAGGAGCCTTGCTTTTTTGATTTGCTTGCTTGTTTTACATTTGAGTGTATCTCAGGTATGGACTAGTTATTAGTCATTCAATTACCCTTTAAGTTAATGATTATATAAATTACTCCAATCTTTACTCTCAACTGATCAGTTGGGAGGGAGCTGCTATAGCTGATACGTTATAGTTTTTATATGTGTACATTTATTATGTTAAAACATCCATAAATTGATAAAAATAAGCAGAACTAATGTGTAAGTGCATTAATTTTTTTCAAGACATTAGTGATAGAAGATGTGGTATTGTATAAATTTTAATTGCTTATGAGAAATCAATCTAAAAAACAAGCATCTACCTTTATAAATTCATTTTTAGATTAGCAAAAAGGGGATTGGTAATGTTTTTTGTAATATCCCCTAGTGAAAGCTTTGTTTTCAATGGACAAACACCCATGCATTTGTGCAGTGTTTTGACAGTCCATTCAAGGTAAAATTGAGTTATTAGGAGAAAGACATTCTCATCATTCTAATTAGAATGTCCCAGGAGAGAAGGATAAACCTATGTTAATTTGGGACAGAGCCAGAGGAGTCAGTCACGATGTCATTAAATAAGAAATTAATTCACTGCAAACTAAACTATCAACAGACAGCAAGGGCAGGTGTGAAATTATGAAACATTTAACCAGCCAAATTGTCAAGAGAAAAAATTTGTTTGACTATGAACAACAAAAACAATACCAGTTTTCGAACTAATTTGAAGTTGATTAATGAACTTTGTCATAATCACTATGTTAAACTGTCATTTTCACTATGTTAAAGAATTACAGAATTTTGTATGCAAAATTAATCAGTTCATTGAGGTTAAAATATACAAATTCATACAGGTAGAAACCTTTCAAAATTTAAAGAAATAGCAACACTTACTTTTTTACGTTGTTGCAAAAGGAGGCCAGACTCATATTATTGCCTTGAGGTACTTCAACTAGCTGAATGGAGCAATGTATGAGCTTAAAATAAAAATCATTAATTTAGTATAGTTTGGTATGGGGAAAGAGTAATACAATTCTGTAATTTTTATCTTATTTAAAAGATTCATTCCATTTTAATTTTTTAGATTGTTCAATGAAGTGACATTTACATATAGAAAAATGAATACATCTTAAATATATAATTTGTTTTGAGGGATATATACAACTGTGATATCAATACTCAATCAAAATATACAAGATTTCTATCACTTTAGAAAGTTCCCCCACATCTCATTCTGTCAATCTGTATGTCTATTTGATAATTACTATTACTTAGTTTTCTATCACCATAGTTAAGAAAGCTAGCTCTCATTCTTAGAGGGTAGAAATGACTACATTTTAGATTTAAAGTGCCACCATAGATTAGGATTATGTGCCCCTTTGTTCCTGTTTAAATAAAATCATTTCACTTAAATGATATAAATATTTTTAAATTTATCTATGTTGTTGCATATATCAAATTAGTTCATCATTTTTTATTGCTGATTAGTTGTTTCTATTGAGTGAATATTATATAATTTGTTCAGTTTAGCCATCTTTCTGTTGATGGACATTTAGGTTGTTTATAGATTTTGGATATTGTAGTGAAAGCTATGAATTTTTATATATAAGTATTTACATGTCATGTGTTTAATTTCTTGTGAATAAATCCATAAATGGCCTAGTCAGAAGGTAGGTATATGATTAAAGAAATCATTTTTACTTTATGTATTTTGAAGCTGTTATTAGGTACATACACATTTAAATTTATTATTAGTCTCCTGTTTTATCCTTTCATTGTCATCAAATGACCTCTTCTTTCCTTAACAGTACTGTGTCTTGAACTGTACCCTTTCTGATATTAACCATCCCAACTTTTTTTTTTCTGGTTGAACATTAATTTTTTTATTTCTTTTACTTTCAACCTATCTGTGTCTTTGTTTCTTTGTCCCTTGAAAACAGTAGTTAATTCTTTTTATCTAGTTTGTCCATTTTTCCCCTTTTATTTGGAATTCTTAGTCTAATTATACTTAGTATATTTATGGATATTGTTGGATTAAGACTACCGTAGTCACATTTGTTCCTAGTTGTTTCTTCAGTTTTATTTCACTCTTCTATTTCTCCTTCCTTGCCTTTTTTCATTTACTTGACTTTTTTCCTCTATGACATTTGATTTCTTTGTTGGATTTTTAGTTTTCTATTTAGTATTGCTTCTTTAATAGTTGAATTAGCTTAGGAATTACAATATGTATCTTTAATATATCACAGTTTATTTAGAGATAATACTATAATCACTGTACTTAAAATGTGAGAATTCACTAAAGCAAGTAACATTTCCCCTTTCATCTTTCATGCTGTTGTATATTTTCATCTATATATGCAATAACTACCACAATAAAATGCTATTGTTTTGCTTTAAACAATTTATCCAAAAAAATTAAGGTAAAAATAGTTTTCCAAAACACTTACTTTGGTACTTCTTATGTGCATGTCAGCTGACTGATTTCTCTCAACATTTGTTTATATGATAATATATTTATCTCATTTTAACTTTTGAAGCATGTAGTCAATGGACATATAAATTTTTTTAATAGAAAATTTAAAATATTATTTCATTGTCAGCTGGCTTCCACTCTTTCTGATGAGAAATATATTGCATTTCAGATTGTTATTCCACTGTGTGAAACCTTTTTTTCCCCTGTTGCCTTTTATGATTTTACCGTTGACTTTCACATGCTTGAATATAATTTGTGTATATGTGGTTGTATTTTGTTTGTTGAGATTCTTAGACCTGTAATTTCCAAATTTGTTCATTTGTTTGGCTACTAGTCTCGTAAGTTTCCAGGTCCCTGTTCATTTTTATATAATCCTTTTATTTTCTTCAGTTTGAATAATTTCTATTGTTTTTCTTTCAAGTTTACTTCTCCTGCCTCTCCTCCCCTCCGCATCCTGTTATCTCCTGTTTTAAGCACATCCAGTGACTCATTTGTGGTATATTTTCAGTACTAGAATTTCCATTACTTTCTGTTTTTTAATAGTTTCTAATTTCCTCTTGAGATTCCTCTTTGGTCTCTTGATTATGTCTATATTTTACTCTATATACTGGAGCATCCTTTTAAAACTACCTTAAAGTCCCTGTCTGTTAATTTCCACATCTGGACTCAGAATCTCTTGCAATCAACTGGGTTATTTTCCTGATTATGGGTCATAATTCCCTGCTTCTTCACAAATCTAAGCATTTGTTATTGTATGTTCAACATTGTAGCTAACACATTATGAATTGTGTTGTCTTTCTTGCAAAGTATAAACTTTTACTCTGTAAGGCAGTTAAGATCCTTTTGGTCTTGTCTTCCTTGATTTTATTTTTTGTTAAGCCACACCTATTTTGGTAGGGTGTAAATACCTATTTGGTATTTACTTTAGAGCATGCTTTTTACTTTCCAGAGATAGCTTTGTGTAATCTCAGTTGAATGCCTGAAGTACTGAGCTCAGAGTCCTCACTAGCTGGGTCAGAACTTTTGCACTGAGTAACTAGTGCATGTGTGTGGTGAACCCAGTCCCTTGGCCAAAAATCTGCAGCAAATCTTCTGCAGACTGGGTACAGACTTCTGATCTCCACCATTGCACAGCTCCTTCTCCAACACTTCCCTACAAATTATAGCTTCCTCTGCAGCCTGGAACTGCAGGCTCTGCCTCCTAAGTGTACTTGTATCACTGCTTAAATTTGATTCTACTAGCCTGCTCCACAGCAGAAAGTGCTCACAGGCAGAAACCAGAATGATCAAACAATACTTTGGTGTTCCCCCTCTCTCAAGAATCAGTGTCCTATACTGCCTGTTGTTCAATGCCTGAAATCAGTAGCTTCATATACTTTGTCTAACTTCATATTTGTTTTTACTGGTAGGGAACGTTTAGTACTTGCTAAACTGTCCTGTTCAGAACTCGATGTCCCCAGAACTCATTTACATTTAATTCGTATCAGTTAAAGTGCTGCCTTCTTTGCAAGTACCTCAGACAGAATTAGGTATTTCTTCTCCTATGGACTTATCCTATCAGTTATTTTACTCTGTTGGCATTAGTAATTTTCAAGTTAATTTGATCAATAAGCTATTCCTGAAATCAGGTATCATGTCTTTTCTTATTTGCATGCATTATGCCTTATATATCATGCATATTTTAAGGATACAATCAATAGTTGTTGAATAGGTGAAAAATCCTTTGCCTTGCCCTGTAAATTGCAGCTGCAGTGTTTCTTCTTTTTACTGTTAATGTCTACTTTCACTTGTGTCTAGGCTCAGTATAAGCAGATAAATGTTCAAATATTATACAAGAAACTCTGGTGACTTAAATGATTGGAGAACTACTAATAAAACCATTAGGATGAATTATACAATGATTACTTAATTTCCTACTCTTGGCATGATCCCAATAGAAGTTGCCTGCCAACAGTATAATTTAGGAGACTCTGGGTAAAGGGACATTTTTCCTACCATAAGATATAAACTTTTAATTCATGATAGTGTGCCTCAAAATATAAATATAACAAAATGCATTGAACTCTGCTGGCATTAGTAGTTTTCAAGTTAATTTGAGCAATAAGCTATTCCTGGAGTCAGATATCATGTCTTTACTTATTTGCATGTATTATGCCTCATATATCATGAATATTTTAAGAATATAATCAGTAGCTGTTGAATAGATGAAAAATCTTTTGCCTTGCAAAAATTATACAACAGAGTAAAATACATTTCATTATGTATGTTTCTGTGTGAGACTAATTACCAATAAGGATAGGAAACACTATCATCTAAACCTCTAAGTATAATATTTTGTCTAATAAAATGTAAGTACTCTACCATTTTATTTAGTTCTGATGAAACTGGAACTTTGAAAATTATATAAATAATTTATTTCCCACTAATTCAGGAATGCAGAATTTGTGAATAACTGATTTTTTTAAAGTAATATTTATACACTTCCCTATTTAAGGTTAGTTACCCTCATTACCAAATTAATCCAGCACATTATCGATTGATTATTTTAGATTTGTATTTTTAGGTCAACATATATGACACATACATACCTCTTTGTTCTTTGGCCAGGTACTTTCCCATGTTCTGGGTAGAAAAGAACCTTTTAAAAACATCAGAGAAGGTTCCACAATGTTCCTATTTCTACTCTTTTCACTCTCTTCTTTTGGCATGAAGTCAGTTGAGGAGGATGGATATGCAGGAGGAATGATACTTTCAAATCCTATATGATAGTTAGGATTTTCATTTTCTAATTCTCTCCATGAATTAATTTTATCCAAATGAGTTGATGATGGAATTAAAATACTGGATCTATAATTCGCAGCATCATGGTCTTTTCCTACGGGTTTCCCACTAGAGGTTTCTGTATTCATGTTTTGAGGATTTGGTAGTGCAGAATTCCTAAAACCAATTACTGGTGATTTCCTAATTTGGTGATAGGAGAGTTCTGAACTTTTAGAAGCGAATTCATTCAATGATATTTGATGTATTTTATCAAGTGAATGCCTTTTTGAGTCCCTGCTTGGTGCACTGGGCACAAAAATGGTGTTTTCTTCCATTTCACTCTGATAGAATGGAATTTCATTACTGATCTCATCTACTAGCTGATCAAAACCCACACTGACTTGCCTGGGAAAAAGGGGTTGATTTGCAGAGTGAAATTCTTGGTGCTCATGCTGTTCTTCATGTGATTCACTGGAATTTGGATCTGTTTTCCAACAATATTCCATTCTTTATTTTTTGTAATTGAAAGGACTGGCTCTCCTCCAAATATCTCCTTGATGATATAATAAAAGATAGGAATTTTCCTAGAAAAAAAAAAGACAGAAGGAAACAAAAAATTAATTAATTACAAATAAAAGAGCTTGCCAGAGATAAACATGATAAATAAACAAACGACTGTTTTGAAATTTCTTCCTACCAAGTGAAATAATTTATGAGTAATATAAAACTTCATCAGAGCTCACAACATTAAAGTCTGTTGAAGGAGTATTGACTTCTGATAGAGTGATGAAATCCTGTGATAGAAAAATCAGTCTACCTCAGTTATGACAGGAATTTCATGAATGAAGCCCGGTCAGTATTTCCCTTTGTATCCTTTTCCTACTAAAGCTCCACTTGCCTATCTCATCATTATCTCCCTCTGTATCCAGTCATCTCTTAGCATGCTAGCATGCCAAAGTATTTTTCTTATTAAACAGCTTCTTCTTGATCTGTAATCATTCCATCTCCAGACATAGTCTTAACTTTTTTCTCCCCTCCGTAACCAGTCACCTTGTAGTTTGTCTAGACCTTTCTTCTCATCTTCGAAACTCTTTAAAACAATTGCAAACTTATTCTATCAGTTTTGCAAAACAACTTTCATTAAATTCACCAATGAGATTCATGTCAGTAAATTCAACTGACATCTATCAGTTTCTATTTTAATTTATGTCTTTGTAATACTTGATTCCATTCACCATACTTCTAATTTTAAAATATCTTGCCTTTCTACTTTGACTTTCAATGATCCTGTATTTGCTGGTTCTTTTGTTTTGCTCTTTCTTGAAGACTATTTTGCCTATTACTCATTTTCCACATGGCCCTTGTCAGAGCTTCTTTTCTCCTCAGTTATTTTCTCCTTGTAAGTTATTTCATCCCTCCTGTGGTTTAAATAAGCATTCATATGTCAGTGGCTCCAACCTGGACTATTCTTATTATTACCTTACTCAATATCTCCATTTGGAATTATTATTATTTTTGCCTCCAAGAGAAAGTCCAAAACTTAAATCATAATTCACCCAAGAACCTGCTCCTATTCTAGTATTTTCTGTGACAGAAAATGGCACAACCACATACTCAGTTGCTCAGATCAGAAACCATGGTTTCATGTTTGGGTCTTTTCTTACCTCTGTTCTTCTATATCCAATAAACCACTAGTTTCTGTAGAAAATCCTTTTTCCTTTCCTTGTGTTCCACTGCCATTCCTAGTCTAAAGCTTTCTTCTTCTCACCTAGAATTTTGCATTGTCTCTGAAACTGCTTCTTCATTTTCTGCAGTCCATTCTCATGTCCAATGATCCATTATATTATAGTGATATGTTTAAGAGGCTAACCAAATTCCCTGGATCTTTTCAGTGGTTTCCTACTGTCTCAGGGTAACATCCATAGATGTTACATATGTAAGATTTCCCATTAGATCATTAGACCATGTTAGTGTTTCTTACTTATAACTCAGTACCTACTTCTTTGCTTCAGAGTAGTTGCACATTTGCATTTATTGAACAAATGATTTGATGAATTTTAAAAATTATAATTGGGTTACAAGAAAATGAAATAGAAAAGTATTTTTGTCACTTTAATGAATGCATCAATTCCCTTAAGAATTATGTGTGTGTTTGTGTGTGTGTGCATTAAAGACAAAATGCATTTGAAAGAATAATTATTATAAAGGTTAATTATCAAATATGATTTTTTACCAATAGGCTTTGCAATGGCAATTGATTTTTATTATATTGGCACTAAAGATTTACTTAATGTTCATGATCCCCTAAGAAATAAGTGAATTAGATTTATTATACTTTACTCAAATTGAACTGATAGATTTGGGAAAGATTTTCAGGAAATGTAAGTAAAAATGTAAAGAATGAGGTGTCAACAAGAAAATCTATAAAATGTTATTCCAAATTATTCTAACTTATGGGTCACATAGATACATTATCTAGCTGAATCCCTCTTGCAGAAATTGCCATTTTTTCTTCTCCATGTTAGTAGTGAAAGCAGTTTCATTAAAACAAATTATGCTCCTTTATCAATCTTTGTCACTGAACTCAGAATTTGTCAGTAGGTGTGACTTTAACTCTGACAGCCATACTTAATATCCTGTTTCAGTTTTCATTAGCCTAGCTTGCTCTGTCTCAGCTTAAATGCGGTAAATGTGGTTATATGAAAGTGACTTTTACAATTTTGAGTGGTTTCAAAAGAACTGATCAAGTTTTTTAAAATTATTTTTTTTTATTTTGTGCAGCCATAAAGGAGGTCTTTAAATAAGGTACCTGTGGCCCGATGTTGACATTAAAGATGACTTTGGCTTTATTGTCTTGTTGTCCATACTAATTATAATGACACGTAACATTTTCTGAGCATCTACTCTATGTTACTGCTCTATATACACATATTTATTTATATGAATTAGTGTATTTATTTCTCATCTTATACCCTGTGATATTATTCTTGTCACTTAAATGAGGAAATTGAGGCATGGAAAGGTAAATCGACTTACCCAAGGTCTCAAAATTTGTGTTCACATATTTGTTTTAAACAGAGATTAAAGAGAGGCACATGGGTGATTGTGTCATACCAATAATCTAGAGCATGCCTGACTTTATGCACTGTAACACAGCATTAACCCAATTCAAACTATCTCTATGAAAAGTACTGAAAACATTTTGATTTTTATTATGCCAATATTTTTCAATTATTGCTTGCAACATTAGAACTTGAAAGATTTAGAGGCCTGTGTGAAAAAATTCACTATCATGAAATAAAGGACAATGAAAAATATTTATTCATATTGAAAATGTAACATAAATGAAACCTTTCCTGTATTCATTTTTTAAAATACTAAATTTGGAGATTTTAAGGGATTTCTAAAATTTAAATCTCCTCTTTACCATCACCATCTCAAAGCTAGATTATTTCTTAGACTATAAGCAAACAGAAATGTTATTTAGTACCACCTGGAAAATATCTTCACTTTGAATTATGAATAATGCATAAAACAATTAATACCTTGACTTTGAGGCAGAACAGTACATACAGATAAGCAGCAATTATGACATAATCGAGAGGGCATGGCTCTCACTTCCTGACTTAAGTAAGATCCTACAGAACTATAGAAAATATGTCTGGTAGGCAGAATAATGGCTTCCCAAATTTTCCCGGGTCTTGATCGCTGGATCCTGTCAATACGTTAGGTTACATGGCAAAGAGTAGTTAAGGTGGCAGATGGAGCTAAGTTTCCTAATCAGTTAATCTGAAAGTAGGAAGATTATCTGAGTGTATTTAGTAAAATTGAAAGGATCCTCACAAGTGGACAAGGGAGCAGAGGACACAAACAGAGTAATGTGGTTGGAGAAAGACTCAACTCACTTTACTGGCAGAGGATGGAAAATGCAGGCCATGAACCAAGGAATACAAGTTGCTTTTAGAAACTAGAAAAGACGAGGAACTAGATTTTCCCTAGAAGCCTCCAGAAAAGAGCATAGCCCTTATAACACCTTGATTTTAGCACAATGGACCCATGTTGTATTTCTGACCTACAGAATTATACGATAATAAACTTGTGTTGTTTTAAGCTGTTAAGTTTGTGATATTTGTTACAACAGCAATATAAAATCAATACAATATGCAAAACTGGAAGCTGCTTCCTAAATTTATTAGAGAATCAGGGGTTAGAAGTCTAGCAGACCACACAGAATAGTCCTGTATTTTTTGTTAGTTCAACTAAATTCAGACAGGGATATTTTGAAGGTGTTAGTAATGATAACGTAGTATACTACGATTGCTTATAACCTTCAGTTGAGTTCAACTTTCAAGAGATCAGTTTTTATTCAGGGTTAATTACTCATCTGGCCTGAAAAAGAAGTACAGACAAAATTTGGGCACCTATCAGAGAAAGGGCAGCCCCTGCCAGCTGTTTCCATTTTTTTAAATCCACAAAGGTGTGAATATCATCCAAATATCCCTAGTGTTCATAAGGAGAACAAAAATGTTAATTTTACAAAAGAAGGGAGTAGAAAGAACCTTTCTGAAAAATGTCTGTTCTTGATCCAGAAAGTCCTGACTGTTTCATTTGTAAATAAGTATATCTGCAGGGGAGAGATGAGAAGGGGAGAAAGTAATAAATTATGTGGTTGAAGAAAAGCTATTTTTATTTCTGATAACAAATCGTAAGCATTGAAAATTTACCAGTTTTAAAAATATATATACATGTCATGGAAAATAAAGAATGTGCCTACATGAGACATGGCAAAGTCTAATCAAGCTAAACCGTCAGTGTTTTCAGTAAGGTGGAGGGAATTTCTATGCTTTGGTAGCTAACCTGGTTCCTGAGAAGACTGAGCTGGAGGGACGATCTGAAATGCCCACCTCTCTTCACCTTCTAAGCCAATTATATATGTATCATGCAGAGACGATACAGACACTTAAATTTTAGCTAGACATAAATCTGACCTTCCTCAACTCAATTTCCTGTATGAATACAGAGAAGACCACAACCTATTTTATACACAATATATATACATATAAAATACATATACATACACACATATATAGATATATGTGTGTATGTATATATAATTTATATTACCTTACTTTTTCAATTTCTAATTAGGAATTGAGTGATAATGTAATCATATTATTATTTTCAAGAGCTCTGGTAATATTTTTACCTAAGTGAAGACAAGGGATGCTTGGAGAAAACATTAATTTCTAAATGGTCTCTAGTTGATGCCTTTTTATGCTAACAATTGAGGTATAATCCTGTAGAAGCCACACTTCCCATTAGCCTGCCTAAATCTTCTATATATATGGAAAATTTGAAGCCATCACTGACTCTTAATTTTGGTAAATATTTTCTTGAATAAATCCATTCATTTATTCCTACATCTATTTACTATTTGCATATTTATATATTCAGTACCTGTTTTTATATATTGTGTTGAGATCTGTGGAAAGCACTGGGGTTACAAAAATGTTAAAACACAGCTCTTGCCTTCAAGTAGTTCATAGACAGAAATTTATAATATAATACAAAGTACGAATCACTG